GGCGCCTGGTGCGTTGCTGCGGGTCTCCCTCCCCCTCCCGCCGGGCTCACCAGGCGCCAGGATCGGGACCCTCCTGAACCCGAGGCGATGCAGCAGAAAAGCCCTCGTCGAGACTGACAGCGCTGAATAATAAAGTGACAACAACGAAGACATGATCATAAATAAAAACAAGAACAATTGCCTAAATCGGGGAGCGAAAGCTGGAGAGCCAAGAGGGGCTGAGAGGAAAGCCGAGGTTTAAAAAGAAAGAAAAGGAAAGCGGGGTCTTCTGCATGCCGGCGCCGAGGGGGCTCCACCACGTGGGAGACACCGCGAAGAAGTCCCGGGGACGGGGGGGGGGTGTTTGGAAAGGAAGGAGATATCCGATGCCCCCCCACCCCCACCCCCTCGCAGCGGAGACTGGTCGGGGGCGACCGGCGGGGAGGGTAGCAGGAACCCCCCCACTTCGTTTCTCCTTCCCTCCCTCCCTCCCTCCCTGCCGTCACCCATTGATAAACGAAGGGGTGGCCACTTCCGAACGATGCTCGGGGCGGGAAACGAGAAGAGCAGCGGAGGCTGTAATGTAAAGAGACGCCGAAGCTCCTTGGGTCGCACGAGGGAAGGCGCAGCCCCAGTCCGAGGGCCCCGGGGGTGGGCGCGGACCTCAGGCTGGGGCGGCTGGGCTCCCCTCTCTGATGCCCGGTGGGCAGCCTGGACCCAAAGGTCACTGGCCGGGCCAGCTTCGATCGGTGCAGAGGGCCGGCCGGGCCTTGCTCTTGCCGGCCCTGGAGACGGCCCGTGTTCCCTGCCAGGCCCTTCTCTCTCCCTGGTCGGCTTTCCCTCCTCGCGCAGAGTTCTCCTCTTCCAGGGCTTTGCCCCCCCCTCCCCGCCGCCGACCCCCGCAGCCGCTTTCTCTTCCTGGCCCGTTCCTGGCTAATTCGAAGGCATCGCTGAGGCTCAGGGGCGGCTGGGGGCATTTCGGTGACACATGCGCAGCCATTCACGGCTCCAGTCCTAAGCGAGGCATTCTTACGAGACGGATCGATGTTTAAAATGACAGCATCTGTTTGCTTGTACACATTTATTTATAATTCTTCCCCTGGCGATTATGGCAGGAGCTTGGTGGGTAATAACCAGCTGTGTGAATTAGCAGGGAGAGGAAGCTGTTATTTGATCTGTGAAGGGAGGCGGAAGCCAAGGCCAGGGGTAATAAAACCGCAACAGATGTCCTGTCGATGCCGCCCGCCTCGGGAAGGGACTTGTAAATTGCCAGAAGGGTTGACTAGCGAAACCCAATCAGCTTTGGCGAGTGTACACAGAATTTCTATGAGACAGGTAGATTGGCATCCTCCCACCCCTCCAGCGTGTCTCAGAAGAAAAATGGAATAGGAGTGTGTGTGTGTGTGTGTGTGTGTGTGTGTGTGTATACAGGCAGCAGCTGCTGCTTTTAACACTGCTGTCATCTGTAACACCCAGGATCGCTACTGTGCTCCCTTGCCGGCTTTGCTGTGCCTCCTGTCTAACACCTTAACTTAGGTGTGTTGCTTCGCCTGATAATCAGTCACCTGCTTTCCACAAAACCCAGAATTCCTGCATTCTGTAGCTGCTCCCTGCACATTTCCTGCTACAGTGCGTTCATCTCACTGGTCAGATCTTTGCTATTTGACAGGATCAGTTTGAGGATAGTGGACAATCTCCTTTTAAACTTAAGCGCAAGGAAATTTAAAAAACAACAACAACCCAACACCAAACAAACCTCACAGCGAGTGCTTTCCACCTTGTTGGTTTAAATGCTCCGAGGGATCCAATGACTCCAGGCTTGGCAAAGGGGGTTCTGCCTACAGCTCCCCCCTCCGCACAGTCCTGGCCCTTCCATGGCTGCTGCTTTGTACACAAAAATCAGGCAAACGCCAGGAGCAAGGCTGTCCGTGGCTTGGTCCTTCCTGGCAGGCTTAGCCATAGGCAGGGTGGTTCCTTTGAGTCCGTGTGCACGCATAGGTGCACGTGTACATTAGGGACAAGGTGCTTTCCATTCTGCCCAGCAGATTTTGGCTGGCATGCAAGGGTCTTGCCCTTTGGCCTCCTGACGTGGGGCCAGGTCGCTGTCCTGTGAGGTGGTCTCTGGTTTGAAGTAGCTGGATGTGCTCACAAATCCCTTATCTATCTGTCAAAGGCCCATTACTAAACTGCGCTAGCTGGTTTGCAAACGATGTGGGTGGGAAAACTCCTGGCTCTGAGTTTCAGATGGTTTCAGCAGTTAAGGAAACCTTTTCTTCAATCTGTGGGATGGAACCTGGTCCGCGGTCTACATCCATGTGCTGGTATCAGAGCCACCTTGGTGGTGTCGTGGCTAGACGGTTGGACAGGGACTCTGGAGACCTTGGTTCAAATCCTAGGACATAAGGCATGAACATTCCAGGGAGATCTTGGCCTCAACACACTCTCTCAGCCAAATCCACCTCGCTGGATTTCTGTTGTGAACATGAAGGAGAGCCGTAAACTCTGCCTCGACCTTCTTGGAGGAAAAGCAGAATACAGATGTAGCTACTAGAGGAAATGACTAGTGGTTCCTGCCCTCCCTGCCCTTTCAGTGACTCAGGCACTGCTGGTGAGGCCCTCTCACTTCTGAGAAGTCGCTGCACATCTTCTGATAACAGGCCTTGCCTGAGGATTTGGTATCTTGCTCCGATAAGGACTTTCTGTCTTCTAGCACAGATGGTGGCAGGACACACTCCCCCGGCTTCTTTCCCACCAGAAAAGAGAAGTGGCCGTTCTCTCTTCCCCACCCCCTTGCCCCCCCCCAGATGCAGCTCACAGCTCCGCCGGCTTTGGAGATGTGGCCTGCTGGTGTTCCTGGTTCCCCTGGAACAGTCCTGAATGGTATTGATTGCTAATATGTGCAGAATTAATTGTGGCGCTAGAGCGATTTGTCACCGATAAGCAAGTTACGGCTGCTGGAGATGACAGAACCATGCATTTCAATTGTGTATCTTGCAGCTGAGCATCGTTATGGAGCGAGGAATATGTAATGGCCGTGATGTCTTTATCAACCTGTTCCCTGCATTGTGTTTTTATCACAGCCATCTGCTGTGCAGCGAGTGGCAGCTGTCAGGTCGTGCAAATAGCTCGGTTGTGTACTTTCGTGTAGAACAACATATTGTCATAATTTCTCTGATATTACTGGACGGAATAATGTTCACGAAGATAAGGTGACATTATTTTTCATGCTCTGGAATAATGCATTGCTTTTCAAGGATGGGTTTTCTTGCCCTGGTGAGAAAGATTCCCACCCCACCCAACCAGGATGCTGGAAGGCCCTGGAGTCAGGAGGACTCCATCACCTTTTGTTTCACAAGAAGGTTCGCCTCCACATTACCAGAAAAGAGGACATCCAGCAGCCAGGAGGAGAGCAAAAGAGGCCACTGCCTGGACAGATGCAGAATCAGGAGTGGCTTCCTGGAGCTGAATATAACCGCAATGGCTTTCATGAACTGGGTGGCGGCGGACCTGGGGTGTGTGTGTGGAACGGACAGTGGCACAGCGGTCTGGTGTCCTTGCCGCCAATACTGCTCTTTTGGTGGTGCTACCTGTGGATGATGGGCAACCTTGGGGTCTCTGATCACGTTGCCCCCTTGGGTCCTTTATCTCAACCCAGGCATGACTGACAAGGCCTTTCAACAGAAGGATCCTCAAGCTGTAGGTCTGGAAAGGGGCTCCGAGGGCCACAGAGTCCCTCTGCCTCCTGCTGGTGTTCTCCAGCAACTCCTGTGGGCTGAGTACCGGTACCTGCCGATTTTCTTCGAAAATATTTTTTTTCAGTGGCCTAAGGAGGGAAAGTGAAGGGTCTCAAGGGCTCCTCTTTGGGGTCTCTCTCTCTCTGTGATTTGCCAAAGCCACAGCTTCTCGACTTTCTTTCTGGGGAGTGCAGAGTGTTTGTCTGGCTGAGGGGAACACAAGCACAGGTGGAGGCAGGGCTGTTCTCCAGGGCGAAATCATTACCTGTCACAAGATGGAGTGCTGCCGTTTAGGAATCCCAACTAGCTGGCAAGAGAGCAGCTTCTCACCTTTAGGGCTTCTTCGACCACATTTTCTGGCCGCCACATGCCTGGTGCCAAAGCCCTGATGCCAGGAGGTGAAG